TGAAAGAGATGGGTGGTGTTTGTTTGTGTGGGGGGGGGGGGGGCACGATGATGGAAAATGGGTTGCTTTTTTTTATTGCTACTGGCTAACTGGCAACTAGCTGTGGTTAGATGAGAAGATGGAAGATCTGCATGGGAGAAGAATGAGTTAGCTGAGAATCCTATGTCGAAGCCAGGCAGCTCCAGTGATGTTTTGCTGAGGCAATTGTGAAAGACACTCTGAACTTTAGAGCCACACAAGTCTGTTGTCTTACCTGTCTTCATTTTATTGCTTTATATTTTGAAGATGTGTGCTTGTTGCTCTTGGTTTCTGAGAGTACATAAATGTAGTGGTTACAACTCAATTATGGAAAACTCTAAATTTTCTCTGTCTTTTTTCATGTCTTTTCATTCCTTTTTTCATTCCTTTTTATTCCTTTCCTCCTTCTTCCTGTCCGTTTGCTATTCCCTCTCTTCCTCTCAGCTTTCAGGATTTTGTTTTGTCCTCCTCACGTTTCTGTTCTTGGGCTTTTCTAAGCTATTACTTTCTTGTGTTGCTTGTCAATCTCTGCTGACTTTCTTCTCCTCCCAGTCCAAACCACCATTGATTTCTGTCTCAGTTGTTGTTCTTACACTCTGTTTTTTTGCTGTACTTAGAGGCTACATTTTAAAGGATGAAAATAGAACAGGACTTTCTGAAGGTGAAACCTGGAATCTGGGGATCTGTTGCTTTTCAGTGACTTCGATATCATCTCAACTATCTTTGATTTGTACAATATAATAGTTCAACCATTTGTGTGAAGTTCTCTAAATAGCTAAAGTCCATCTTCATTTTGTTTAGCAAGTCTATAAGGAGAGTTTCACACAGTTCTACATAACAGATGCTTGGGAAATACTGTGAAATTTCAGTATTTGTATGGGTGTTTGCTGTGATCTGAGGACATGTGAGGTTTGATCCTGCCTGGCAGTGAGGCTTATAAGCATGGCATTTCAGTGGTGAAGACAGAAAAGGCACAGACTTCTGTGCTGAAATGAACAAAGCAGTACTCAACAAGCTAACTCAAGTGACTCATGCTGACTTTGAAAGCAAGTTTGAATGTGTTTGATTTCAGAAAATGCATGCAAGATCCTGGTGTCTAAATTACATCTCAACAGCTTGTAATTTGCATCTAATATTTCAGAAATAATAAAAATTACAAGATTTAATGTATTAGAAATATTTACTGGAGTACCTAATAATTATCCAGAAGCCTGTTATACTTGCTGTGCTTCCTGACTTGTTACTTTCACTCTTTTCCCTAAAACATTGCTTTAAAAATGTCTAAAAACCAAAATCTTGTGTGCGGTATTATCTAGGCTCTTACATTACAAATGTTGCTACTTCTTACATTTTATGGGGTTTTTTTGGAAAATTGCTCTATGAATGAACTTGAAAGTAAGAAATATAAATCTGTCACTTAATCTTCATTTACTATACCTTAATGTTTTAAAAAGCGTAAGAAAACATAAAAAATAACAACATGAGCAAGCCACAGCAGTGGTGAGAAGATTCAGAAATAAGAAGTGAGCTAAGTTCTTCTTTGTGTGAAGCTCAGCAAACCAGCCCGGTTCCAGCCAGCCCAAATGCCCATCTCTCAGGAAAGACCAGACCCGGGACCCGAAAATAAATGTCTGAAGATGCCTTGGGTTTTTCAAAGGCCAGTGCACTAATTACACAAATTTACTTTTCTTCTCTATGTGACAGTTGATTCAGGGGTGTTATCTTACCAGTGAATCAAAGAAAATTCACTCAATAGCCAATGTGACTATTAAGCAGGTATCCTTTATTGCAGCGCTGGGAGTCGCACCGGGATATTTCCACGAATGTGCGTCTCGACGAGAAACAAATTGTTCGTTATTTATATTAGAAAAGAGTTTACATATTCATTAGGTTTCCGATAAATTTAATACATATTCATTATTATTCCGGGAACTCCTGAATATATGCTAATGTCCTGATACGCCTGCGCAGTTTCTTTCTCAGGTGGTCGTCAGGGGTCGTCCTCCTCAAATCTTCCTCTTTCTCCTCTTCTTCAGTGTACACAGTTGGGTGACGTCTTCTTCATTATCTCCGTTTTGCAAGCTCAGCAACCTTGTTATCCATCCTGCCCAGATGGTCCCAGGCTTGTTGGCATATTGGGCCTCCCTTTGTCAGGTTGCCTCAAACTTTGTGTCTTTTTCTAGTTCATACCCAAGGACTATTCCCTAATTTACGGCTTCTCTTATCCTGTTTCTGCATTCCAACTATTTTATTAATTGTTTTCTTTTGTACTGGAGCATGAGACAGTCGAAGCCTGAGTTTGTGGGGCCTGACTCAAGTGTTGCCAAGTTATATTCTTTTTTTTTTTTTTTAATTGTTCTACGCTAATTAGATTCCCCTTATCACCAGAAACATTTGTTTCTTTCTGGTTTTCCCCCCCTCACTCTTTCTCCACCCAGGTGACTGACCGCTGGAGCCACCCTCAGCCCAACATCCATTTCCATGGCCTGCTGCTCTGAGGTGGGCTGAGCCCACGCGGCATGGCAGAGGAAAACTTGAAACAGCAATAAGGGACAGAGTGACTTATTGCGGTGTTTTGTCTCCTCTTGCTTGTGCAGGTCTCGGACTTGGAGAGGACCACGTACTCCAGGTTTAAGAGCGCTATTAAGAGGAAGCTGGCGGCTAAGGCTCCAGTGGCGAGCAGTCCTATTGTCACAAGATGGCAGCAGCTGCACGCCCGAGGCGGTGCAGAAGAGCGGCGCTGGGCCCGATGCGCGACTGATCCTTCTGCCTCCGGGGGGGGCCAGCTCATCAGCACACCTGGGAAGGCTCCAGGTCAGATAGGATGCAAAGGAACAGTTTCATGTGGAGGATGGCCTCATGCAGGGACTTCTGAAATAACCTGGAGCAGGGAATTAGTGTAAGGTGTGGGTTGGTGTTCCCTTGTGTCCCAGTTGTCAGGGACTCTGCGTATGGCAGTGTGCAGCAGCACCAGTCTGTGTAGTCCTTCACAGGCAGAGCAAGCTCAGGGCCAGCATCCTCTCGGCAGGAGTACGCTGCTGTCCTGAGAGGAAGGCTGGGCCCAAGGTTTCTGTTACCAGTACGCAGACAGTCTAGGACAGCAAGCAGGTCATACAAGACAGCTGATGTCAAGGGGGGGTGAAAGGAAAGAGAGGAAAGAAAGTCTCATCCGCAGCCAAGCAATGCCTGTTGCAGACCTATCTTTTTTCCTCTGTGATGCAGGCTGTATTGGACTGGGTTTAAATTGCACTGGGCTGTAACAATGCACAGGGTTTGGTATTGCACCTTCATGTCTGGAATAGTTAACAATAACTGACAGGAGAGCAGGAGAATTCGTACAGGTCTCCCTTTTGCCTCTCCTTTGCCTTATGCACAGCTATGGCAGACTCAGCCATAACTGCAGAACTTAGACCAGCCTGCATGCCTGGATGTGGTATAGCGTACGCTTGCTGAAGGAGAAGCTTGCCATGTGTTATTGTCTCTCCTCCAATGTGTAAGGCTTCAGGTGTTGATAAAGGGACAGCGGCCAAGGGACAGTCACACTCAGTTTCCCTGAGGGAGGGACTTAATCTGAGGGCCATAGCACAGATCAAACTCAGTACTCCGACGTGTTCTGGAGAAGAACTGACTCTAGGGGAGGCTGTTTCTCTCCGTCAACAACAGAGGGAGCTGGAAAAAGGTTAAATGAGCCTTTGAACTCACTGACTCCTACTTCCAGCAGTGCTAGGGGAAAGTGGGGAAGGGTTTACATGCTGCATGTACAAGAAGAGCTTCCTGGAAGATCTAGGGAACTAAATAAGGTTCATTTCTTTATTAATAAATTGAAATCTTTAGAGAGCGAATAAAAGATGCTGTTCAGTGTTTGGGATGCATTCTTATGATGCCATGGGTGTTGGTCTGAAATGCAGTTCTGTCTTCTGCTAAGCAGAATACTAAGCAGTTAATACATGCCCAGCTCTAGGAAGCTCAGTTTCTAAACCAAGGTGAAACCTTCCCTACGTCAGTTTCTAGAACAGAAAGTCCTGCATGCTGTCTCTACTAGCAGTGGTGAAAGCCTGTGTGGTTCTGGGAAATTGGATATTGATTTTCTGTGGGGTAGGGTCCTGTGTAGCCAGTCAATAAATCTAAGGCTGGATATGAGCTGCAGTAGTAAACAGGCACTCTATAAAGATAGTGATCAATCTGACCTTTTTAAAATATCTCTTTAAGGATAAGATGAATAGTGCCGTAGAAATGTCTTTTTCTTCACTGACAAAAGGAGAGCAGGGTGACTGGTTCATATGTTGGTATTTGCATCGTCCCACTTAGTGTGTCAGATATGCTTTTAGAGTACTGC